GTGAGGGTCTCACGGTTGCTTTGTTGCCTCTGAGATCTTTCCTGGCACAGAGCGAGTGGTTCGACATGAGCCAAGTCGGGGAGGGCGGAGCACGCACACATCTGTTCAGGAAATAGCGAGTAGCCAGTTGTAGAGACATAGTCCCCCGTGACCTTGAGAAGTGGTCGTGAGACTTCATGAGCAACCATTGCAAGTTTGTCTGGAGGTCGAGATGCTGAGCGAACGTGGCCCGTGGCTTTCAGAGCAATTGGCAGCGGTGCCCGAGTTCCGGGGTCTCGGGCCCCTGTTCAAGTCGTCGCCGGAGCCGGTGGCCCTGACGGAGTCAGAGACAGAATACGTCATCCGCTGCACCAAACACACCTTCCCGGAGCACATGGTGTTTCAGGTAAGCGGCGTGGGCCGCGCCCCAGGTCTGGTGGCCCCTGTAGGGTCACGGCAGCCCCGCGCTGAGTTGGTTGGGCGCCCAGCCGGCGTGACGGCAGCATCTGCCACGAGCAGGGAGGTCCCTACAGCTCTTGACACTGGAGCTCTCTGGCTCCGGGGTGTCCCCGTGGGGACAGGGAGACGGAGGTGGGCATCGCCTTGGTGACCCGGGCAGAGGCGGGACCCTCTGGCTTTTCCTGTGCCTCACGGCTTGGACCCAGAGCAGCGTCTACGCTCGTGTCTGCTCCCTGGTCTAGTTCGACTGCACGAACACACTCAACGACCAGACCCTGGAGAACGTCACCGTGCAGATGGAGCCCACGGAGGCCTACGAGGTGCTCTGTTACGTGCCTGCCCGGAGCCTGCCCTACAACCAGCCCGGGACCTGCTACACGCTCGTGGCGCTGCCCAAGGAAGACCCCACGGCTGGTGAGTCCTCACCCAGACGCTGCCCTGGTCCCGGGGCAGCTGGAGAATCAGGCGGGGCCGGACAGCTGGGTGGCAGCTCTTTGCCTTGCATTGGAGCTTCAGCTCCTGGATTTGAGTCCTGAGAAGAAGAGCGGCTAAGTCCCAGCTGGTCTTCGCGTATTGTCTCATCTCATCGTCACCGAAGACCTAGGGGTAGAAGTTCCACTCTCCCCGTTCAGAGATGGGGAAACTGAGGTACAGGACAAATGATGGTCTAAGTTCTGGGACTGGAGAACCCAGGCCTGGCTGGTCCTCGCACCAGAACTCTCTCATTATACCAAGTTTCCCAAAGACAAGCACACGTGCTTAAACACCCCAAATCCCGTCCCCCAAGGAAGCCACCAGCCCCTTCCTCCAGTGCTGGCACAGTGGGCTGTGACCGTTACTCGAACACAGGTCCCCTGCGTCGCCTCTGCTTTTCTTCTTTCTTTCTTCCCT